CAGATTCATAAATAGAAGGATATTTTTTCATGTGTTGCCAGGAGAATCTATGCCTTTTATGGAATATTCTATCGTCATCCATATATTTACAATATCAAAATATTAAAAGTTTATAAAGGGTTTGCTAGTCATCCCCCCTTCAACTCATCAGAATCGACTACCCACTGGCCTCATCTGCCTATCCTCGGCCGTTAACACGACCGTTGAAACAGGTCTCATGATCCAGATGAAGAATATACCATACAGGATGGGGCCCCCAAGATAGCTAAATTGAGATAGAAGTAGCCTAAGTATGGTTTATGGTAGATATAACATGATATAACTATAGTTCATGAGCTATATAAAGCAACTTATAATTGGGGAGGCACCATCCTGTAGACTAGGTTTATAGTTTGTTTTTTGCTCGCACCGCACCATTATACGTATATAATTTGCATACGTGTTTGTCAACGGACAATATCCGTACAGACAATATCCCGGCGTGTTCCGGGTCTCCTTTTATGAACCAACCATAATGAATTTATCAATGATGACACTGGTTGGTATATTGGTCATAAATTAGTTGCTTATGATAACAAAAATAAGAGTTAGCATTGGATAATATACCATTAATCACAGTAATCTACCATTTATAGTCATTATTAAGTCAAGTAATAACTTGTTTAATTCTCATTGGATTTATCACCCAGATCAATGTTCACATTGATAGATAAGACCCATGATGGTATATCCACATTGATAGTCATCACTAGATAAATCCCCATTGATAGAAAAAACCATGATGGTACCCCATGAACCATAGTTGTATCTACAACCGTTCTTAAGCCACTTATATCTCAACTGAAAGCTATCTTGTCGGCTCCATCCTGCAAGACCAGGTACCCTCTGGTAAACTAACATGGCTATGGAAAATCACCATCTTTAAGATGTAAATTAAGTATAAATGGGCCATTTTTTCAATAGCTGTGTTCCATTACCAGGCGACGAAGAGTCCCTGGGCGCCTTGCTGACCGCCTTCCACGCTGCCGTCGCCACACCTAGCGTCGCTCTGTCCTCGGCGCAGCTGCAGCCTGTGACGATGCTAGGTTGGAGACAACGGGGGCAACGGCGTGGCAACGGAAAAAGTATGGGAAACATGTAGAATCTATAGAAAAAATATAGAAACTTATGGAAAAAGATGGTTATGAACCTAGATTTGCTGAGTGTTTCTGATTTGTTTGTATTTCCAAATAGTAAATCCACTACTTGGTGGCATCTATAGTATTGTTTTTTTGGGGCAAATCCAAACATAGAAACCTGATTTAGTTACAACTACATTGAACTTAAGATTTAGATTTCAGGTATTCCTACACCTTTTTTTGGTGGTGCTATATAATTATATAATATATAAGTTGGTTTAAAATTACTAGGTTGACTGGGGCCTAAGGTGATGGTGATGAAATCGCATGGATCAATCCAGGGGTGCACCTCTTTGTAGCTGCAGGGAACCATGAAAACAAGAAACTGGGTGGTCATTCCATCTTATTTGCGTACTTTTTGTAGTGTAAATGGTGCAAACAGTTTCAAGATCACCCTGGGCAAACATGGTTGTGGGGCCCACAAGAATCAGACACGAAGATCATGAAGGAAACGGACTTCAGCCGGTGTTTCTTTGTTCTTCAGTGTAAAGCATCCCGTTTCTCGTGGTATACCATTTCAGCACTTCCCACATCTTCAAACGGAGTGGGTCAATAGCCATTTTCGACATGGCTAGAAAGAGGGTACACCTAATCAATGGGTCAGGTACGTCAACCAAGGACTTACTGGTGCTTAGTAGGGAATGGATGGGTTGCTGGGGGTTGCTGGGATGATTATTACTAGTGATTATGGATCATTCCCTCATTCCCTGCGTTTAGCACCAGTAAGAGGAGTTCTTCATAAATCCTCACAGCTCTGATGTTGTTCCTGTTGAAAGACCCGGAATCAAAGGGCTACGCAGTCTCCATGATTGGCATGACCCATGAAGCTAGCCCCAAGGAGAAAAGGAGGGGTGTGTGTATATATCCAATGAATGCCAGCTAAACAGACATCTGCATGGCATATCAACATCACATTCCCAGACTTTGCTGATTGCTTTTTTTCCAGAAAACTTCCACGATGGATGGCACCCAATGGTGAAAAACATCACTATTCAGAAAGCATAATATACTGGTCGGTGGTTTCAAACATTTTTTATTTTTCCATAATATATGGGATAATCGTCCCAACTGACTAATATTGTTCAGAGGGGTAGATATACCACCAACCAGTATCTTTCCGGTATATCGATGTGTTTTCCCTGACCAAAAACCAGGGTTTTCTCATGCCCACACTGGAAAAACCCCATCGTTTTTGGACTTCCTTGGTATCCCAGGATCGATCTGGGTGTGAAGTTGATGATGGCCACGAGTCCCAGAAGCACTTTGGAGGTGCCATCCAGGCGGTTAGGAAAATCATCGCACTATCAGAGGAACATCGGAAAAGTCAGAGGAAAATCAGAGGAACATCATTTCGGAATACGTGAAACAAGATAGGATATATAGGTGATGAACCACAGTTATGGCCATTTATTAGTTATAACTGGTTATAAATGGGATTATACATTCTATAAATGGGGTTATAAGTACTTATAACTGATAAATGGCCATAACTGCAGGATTTTGCTTGGTGCGTACTTTCCATGGGAAATCCACCATGCCGAATCGATTCAGGGAGTTGTTTTCAGCACCGTTTCCAGCAAGCCATGGAGCTGATGACACGCAGGAGGTGCTAAAGAGTACTTAATATGACTTTACCTGTAGCATATGTGGAGGTTTCCTAAAATGGGGGTACCCCAGTAGCTGGATGGTTTATACCGGAAAAGCCCATTAAAAATCACTAAAATGGATGATTTAGGGGATACCCTCCGTTTTCAGGAAACCTCCATGTGGATGTTGTATAGAAAAATAATTCACCAGCTACAAAGAATGCAGTGTCTCAAAGATTTGACCGTGACAAAAATTGCCGCCATCTCATTGAGTCATTGAGTCTATCCTCATCAGTCATTGTTGGGTAGATTGGCAGGTCCTAACCCCAGCATGTTGCTTCCTAGGCCCATTCAGCACCCGGGTAAACATCGGTGAACCGGAGTCATCCGCAGTCCTGGCCATGTAAACATATGGAGATCTTCCAGCTAAGCTGAATAAAGACTAATTAAAGGCTAAACTTTTCATCTTTGTCCATCTCACCATGTGTTTCTTGCCTAAACCCATGATTTGTCCTCTCAGCAATCACTAGAGTCACTAGAGGGGGAAAAAAAACTAGTAACAAGTTCCCGGTGGGTCCTTAAGACCACATGTTGGAGAGTTTTTTTTCTGATGTTTCTATAGGTATAGGAACTAAACAAAGATTATATCATATTATATCCCCATTGTATCCCCATTATATCTATATTAAATGCCATATTAAACCTCCATGAAAAATCTCCAGTAAAAGATTTGGCCGCACTTTGGCCTTGATCTCCAGCATGAAACCCATCGTTGAAAGATTTTTCTATAGATAGGGTTTCTTCAAAGTTCATCTCCCATTCTACATATATATATTCATCATCATATATATATTCATCATATATATATATATATTCATCATATATATATATATATTCATCATATATATATATATATATATAATTATATATATTTATTAATCTTGCATATATATATAATATATTTATTATATGGTGTATTATATGTAGTATGCATGAGCTTCAACAAAAAATAACCCCTTCAAAAGTCCACGAAACTCGTTCGTTGTGCTTTCAGGTGGACCTGGAGGGCGGCTTGTTGGGTCGTTGCTTCGACGTCTGGGAGGCGCTGGCGCAAAGCAGCGCCGCGGAGCGAGGCTTTGAGGTGCTGCTGCAGGTGCTGCCAGAGGCGATGGATCGATGGCGATGGATGGGGGGTTCGGATGGTAGCCTCTGGTAATGACTAACCATAGGAAAATGGTGATTTAACCACTAGGAAATGGTGATTTTTCATGGTGATTTAATGGTTTAACAATGGTTCGTTCTTAGGTGGGCCATGGGAAAAACGTGATTCATGGGATTAGTAACTGGGGATTTGTAACAAATCCCCAAAAATCCCAATGAAATAATCCATGGCTACTAACTAGTTAGCATAGTTAACTAACTCCATGGCCCATCTATGTTGTAGCCTCTGGTAATGACTAACCATAGGAAAATGGTGATTTAACCACTAGGAAATGGTGATTTTTCCTGGTGATTTAATGGTTTAACAATGGTTCGTTCTTAGGTGGGCCATGGGAAAAACGCGATTCATGGGATTAGTAACTGGGGATTTGTAACAAATCCCCAAAAATCCCAATGAAATAATCCATGGCTACTAACTAGTTAGCATAGTTAACTAACTCCATGGCCCATCTATGTTGTAGCCTTTGGTAATGACTAACCATAGGAAAATGGTGATTTAACCACTAGGAAAATGGTGATTTAATGGTGATTTTCATGGTTTAACAATGGTTCGTTCTTAGATGGGCCATGAGCAAAACGCGATTCATGGTTAGTAACTGGGGATTTGTAACAAATCCCCAAAAATCCCAATGAAATAATCCATGGCTACTAACTAGTTGACATAGTTAACGAACTCCATGGCCCATCTAAGTTGTAGCCTCTGGTAATGACTAACCATAGGAAAATGGTGATTTAACCACTATAAATGGTGATTTTTCATGGTGATTTTTCATGGTTTGACAATGGTGAATAATAGGATGATATGGGATTTATCCTCTGGTAATGACATACAAAAAGCTATTGAAAATGACCATAGAAATAGTTGATTTTCCCATGGAAAAACTGGTGATTTTCCATAGTTATGTAAACGTTTACCACAGGGTAAACACCACGGAATTCTGATGGGAGATGGAAGTTCGACTTGAGTCACTTGACGTGGAGTTGAAATCTGAATGTTTGATGGATGCTGTTTGATGAGTTTTGTTTTTGTTCATTGCAATAACTTGCCATGTAAGCGTTTTTATGGTTGCTTGACCGGCTTGACCATTTGATATCCAACCATCATATCAACAATCAATATGTTTTACCACTGGTTAAATAATCCAACCATTAACGAATTCCCACTGTACTCTACAAGGTGGTGCTCACCTTTATGGGTTGGGTTGTAGCAGCATAGCAACTATCCAACAGATGGGTGGAAGACGGGGAATTTTGAGGATCCAAAGTGGATTTTACTGGATTGATTCGGATGGATAGGGGAGGTATTTCATGATTTCGTGGATTACACATTCATGATCCCCAAACAGATGGACATGTAGACCATCAAAAGACTATGGGGATGAACTTGTCTATCTTTTTGGGAGGCCCTAGGAATGCAATTTGCATCTTGCTGACCGATTTGTGTTTAAGAATGAAGCGGCCTGTACCATCCCTGACATCCATTCCATTCTAGTTGCTATGCCCACGTGTGCCCCCCAGCAGCTGGGATGCTTGGATGGTCTATCAATTGGTCAGAACTGCAGGCTTTCGAAGAAACGTCTTGAACTACACAAAGAACTCTGATTGGAACATGAATTTTATTTTTCCATAGATCGGACATAATAATCCCAACTGACGAACTCCATCATTTTTAGGAGGGGTAGGGCTCAACCACCAACCAGATATAATTCACGAACTGTTCTTGAGCTAAGTTCTATTATGTTCTATTAATCAGATAATCAGTTTACCAGATATGTAATTATTCATGATATCCATGCTAATCACTGGTTAATTACCAATGGGATCCCATCATTTTTTTTTGTTTCAGCCAGTTTCAGCGGCAAAATCCTCTGGGAAAATCTCGATGTTCATCCGCTTGGAGGCTCTGATCCGACCATCCAATTTTCGCAATGGACCCTCTGGTAATGACTAACATAACTATTGAAGCTATGGCCATTGAAATAGTTGATTTTCCCCTTAAAAAAATGGTGATTGAACGAAAAAAAACTGGCCATGTATGGTTGATGTACCACTATTTACTCCATGAAAATGGTGATGTTCCATAGTTTTCGGATGTTTTTGGTATGTTTACCAGAGGCTTCCTGGGTCCCAGGCCCTGATGCTCCCGGATCAGCTGCAGCATCCGCCATCCACGGCCTCCAGTAGCGTGCGCGGTCGCATGGCGCAGCTGTTGACCGTGTGGTGCGCTGAGGAGAACGGACGGCGGCTGAGCCAAGTGGTGCGCCGGAGATGGGGATGGGGTCCGGGGTGGATGGGGGAGGGCAAGGGTCATGAAGGCCTTGAAGATAATAATACTAATAGTATTACCAACAAGAATGTATATTACTGGATAATGACATTTACTATTGGTTGGTGGTTTGGAACCATGGAATTAGTGGTAAATATTATTACATGTTGATGGCTGAATATTGATGGCTGGGGTCCCTCTGAATATTGATGGCTGGTTGGTGGTGACTGGAACCATGGAATTTTATGACTGACCATATATCTTGGGAATGTCATGATCCCAACTGACGAACTCTTTCATATTTTTCAGAGGGGTAGGTATACCACCAACCAGTTTAAATATGAATGCCCCTAAAATTAAAAGACCTTGCTTTGGAAGGTCTTTCACCAAAGACCCGTTTTAGTAACAAAAGACATCCAAAGGTATGTTCTTCGGAAAATGTTTGTAGCAAATGAATAGTAAATGTTTTAGGATTACCTTCATTAAGCGTTAAGAGTTAGTGGTTATAGTTGCATTCTCAATCATGTGATGTAAGGTAAGATAATGTAAAAGATCAATGGCAAAATCAGGTATGGTTTGGGGGGTTACTGCAGTCTAAAAGCAGATCTTGGAAGTTATATTTGCAAGTACCGGGTGTTTACTTTTACATTTAGATACTGACAAAGCCAATGTCTTCCCAGCAAAAACTTCCTTAAATCGGCATGATTTCATGAATCGCACATTTTAGGCTTCATTCTAGCCTCATCCAGGTTTACAGTTCTAATTGTTAACCATCCCATTGTTTCAATTGCTTCTCAATATAAAGTAATTGTCTATATTTGAGTATCTCTATATATATATATACACATTTATGTCTGCACAATTCCGTGAAATCTTTCAGGGGGTTTCCCACCCACCCACAACTCATATGTTTTATTTGACATATTAAATTATATTTATTTCTTAAAACCAGATACATCCATTATTTCCTATTGCGTACCGGTTCTACAGTCAAGAAAAATAGGTGCCCTTTTTTCCCCATCCCCAACTCATCCCCATGATATTTCCAATGTTTCATGATGTTCACCTACTATTATAGTAAAAAGATCGATTTCCAGTATCTTTCCAGAGTATTTCCAGTAAAAAGATCGATTTCCAGCTGTTTTTTCCGAGTTTTCAGTATAGAAAGATCCATTTCTATCAAGATTTCCAGGTTTTTTTCTCCCTACCCATCCCTCAAAGACACCCGGATCCCCAGCCGCCCCGTCGCAGATGCAGCGTTTGGGCGCCGTGGAACGCGCCGTTCCACGCGGCAACGGCGCCTGGGCACCGCTGGAGCTGCTGCTGAGCTTCGCGGCGGCCGCAGCGGAGGCCTACAGCGCAACCTGCGGGGAGGAGATCTTGGCGTTGCCGGAGGAGTTGGGAAGGACACTTCGCTGCATTTGGTATCTGCCCATATATAATCATCATTAACCACCAAACCATCATATATAATCATCATTAACCATCATTAATAACCATAACCATCATTAGCCATGATGGTTATAGTTAATACTATCATTGGTTGGTTAATGCTATTAGCCATGATAATAGTATTAACTAATAATAATATCCCATTAATATTCCCTTTAATTAATAATCTGCGTGGTGGTTTCAAACATTTGTTTTTTTTCCATAATATATGGGATAATCCTTCCCATTGAATACTGTATGTTTCAGAGGGGTTCAAACCACCAACCAGGTATGGTGGGATGTATTTTTCCTGATGATTTTTGGGATGAAAACATGTTTTTTGCTGGATTTTCGAGGGTTTTGCGAGGGTTTTGTTTTTTGGGGTGGAGGATTTTGAACATGTGGTTGGTGTTTTTTTTGTTTTGGTTAGACGGTTGTTTTTGGGTGCTTTGTCTTTTTTGTTAAGATTTGATTGATTTGTGCTGAGATTGGCAGGCTACGTGTTTTATTTCGTTTAAGGTTATTCAATGTTGTGTGTGTTGCTGTTTCTGTTTGTCGAGTTCAGGGTTGTTTGCTGACGTGTGCTTTTCCTGATTTGATAAGGTTTCGACCCGGATTTTGGATGGGAATGAATGATTTCTTGGATTCCCCTGGTTTCACCAATATGATCGACGCTTCGGGAAGAATGGATTTGGTGAAATCCGAAAAGATGAGCACTATAAATAAGTTATTGATTGTTATTGCGGGACCTTCTGTCGCATGGAACACTGATTTTGAATTAAGCCTTGTGGTTGCTTGGCTTGGTGCATCTTCTTTGAAAGATTCCTGATCTTAACATTCTTAACCTTCAGTGATGTCATGCATGGGAATCAGAGCGAACCAGTTCAAGTGGCCACAGATCGACGGCAGCGGAGATAAGGATATAGGGATGATCAAAATATCCCCAACTACATACAAGATGGTGCCATCCAGTTCAAAGTTGGTCTATAAACCCATCCAACTATAGAATACAATAGATTACTATCCCCCATAAACCGCGCTAGTTAGCCCAGTTTTACATCAAGTGAACAATGCCTAACAGTGCCTCCGGGCATCTCGGACAGCAGCCGAGGGTCTTCATGCTGGCACCGAAAGTACTGACCTTAGGACGCCGACGGTTGCGTTCCGGGGATAGCCTGAGGCTGCCACTGTTGGGCTCAACTTTTTGGGCAACATCGTTGAATGATGACACATTATAGCTATATGAGCTATGGTCAATACTCATGGTTACTAACCATTAATAGGGGCTAGTCATCCAATGGTTCATAGGGATTTATAATAACCATTATAAGGATCCTTATTATGGATGGGATGACCATCAACCATATAGTGAGTATTGACCATGGCTCATATAACTTTCCCTTCCATGCTTGTTCAACAAGTATATAGCTCTTCGCAACCGAAAGACCATGGTATGTCAAAACAGGCCGCAACATGTGATTCCTATTTGAGGATATCGTTGAAACCACTTCTTTAACCAGTCATCACCCATATCAACATATGTTCAAATCATATATTTCACCATCATGAACCATATTAACAATCTGTTCACCTTTCTTAAACACGCGTTGATTATGTTCCCACCGAGAAAAAACATATTAGCTATATGTTGACCACATATATGTTTTACCATCACTAAACCCCATGATGAACCCTTATCAAACACAATTATTTCTCATAGAAAAAAACACATTATATAGTGACTATTTTTTTCATAGAAATAACCATGTTGACATCATATGTCCCATCCAAGTTTCGATGTTAACCATATTAACCATACATTGCATATAACTATTTACGTTATTTACAATGATAATATTAACCACTAATATTAAGCATATATTAATCATATCTTAACCATATGTTTCACCAATCTTAAGCCCCATTGCTTAGCGCCTCGGAGGAGCTCCAGCCGTTTGGCAAGCGGCCCTCGAGAGCGCTGCCGCTGAGCTGCTGACGGCCATGGATCCCTGGATCACTGTGGAGCGCTGCGGCGATGGTGACGCCCTGTGGCGTGGCCGTTGTGGACTTTGGGCGACTTTTTTTCCCGAATGCGTAGCAAGGGTTCCCGTTTCACTCTGGGGGTCTGGGGGTTGAGGGCGTGTTCGCTCGACGTTGCGTTTGCGTCCGCAACCGTTCGCAACCGTCTGCAACCGTCCGCGCGATCCCCGTATGGCCGTGCCTATGGTAAGTTCTGCAAAAGGGGTCACTTTTGGAGGTTTCACATGTGGCTTTGCTCCGTTTCGTGTAGCAGGCGTGGCACTTTGTGAGATTCAAAC